GGAGGATGAAAGTAAAAAAAGTTCAAAAATATCTTTTATTTTCTATTTTTGAATGTATGGCTGCACAATGATCATTCTTTGGATGCTGAGTTTGATCCAAAAATAGCTGATGTTTTCACAGTATGTGGCTTGATATGGATTTGTTTTTAAAGGAGCTTGATTGCTTGAGGCAGTTGATAGTTGATTGGTGGCTTTAGGTGGAGCTGGTGGATCAGCAGGTCAGGTGAAATGGATCTCAGGTAAACCTGATATGTCACCCATTTTACCCCACACCCAAAAGTACAGTCCATCCACTGCACATAAATATATAATTTAATATGATACTTGCTACTCTAGGAGTCTACTGTCTAGCTAGGTCATAGTTTTCAAACCTTCCTCTTATTTCCATTTTTTCCCTCATTCTTGTTGCTGTTCAACTAATTTTTTTTGTTCAATTACCAAATCCTCTGATAGGAGTTTTTGGATCAGTACCACAGGTGAAATATTCAATTTTTTTACAAATCTGTACCTACAAATAAAACCAAAATTATATTGATGGTTCAGCAGTTGTATGTCAAGGCAAAAATCAGCTTTTAAAAAGTAGCTGCACCAGACCTGCTTTTCAGGAAGTATTTGTCCCCAAAAAGCTGGCCCTGTGCCAACTGGATTTGGAGTCCACATTCACAGCTAGTAGATATTTGACATCCAGATTTTCTCTGTGGCAAATTGTTCCTATGCCTGCTCTTTGAAAGAGACTCATCTGCAGTGAGGGCACTAGGCTAGCTTGACAAGTACTGCTCCTTTAATTGGAAAACAGGCACAGTTTCTGGTCAGTGTGAAGGTGTTTGTGCCCCTCAAGAGCCACTCTCTCTCAGATAACCTGAGCAGGTAATAAACTATCTTGCTGACCTTCTCTGGAGGGTTTCTTCCCTGCCCATTGGGCACTGAGTCTGTAGCTGCACTTCAAGAGAAAATACCCCCCATCAAGCCTAAACAGGTCTGGGTTGCCAGAGATGCTTCCCTGGCAAGCAAGCAGTGGTCATGTCTGCTTGTTGGGGGCTCCCTCACAAGGAAGAAATTGACTGTAGCTGCTCTTCAGGAGGGGCTCTGTTCTCTAGAGAGTCCAAGAATGCACTAGACCATCATTGCTGAGTATTCACCGCAGCAATGAAATTTGAACCAACTTCAGTAGGGGTTTTCTGTCCAGTAAATAGGCACTTTAACTGCTCCTCCAAAGGGACTCTGGCCTCTTCAGCTGGAGCAGCCTCCTATAGACCAGCATCACCAGGAATCCACCCCCGTTGAGCAGACACAGTATCTGTTCATTGTGGGATCTTCCCTACTGAAAAAAGAGTTTGTAGCTTCTTGTGGACCTCTTGCACATGAGATTGTAGGTACCCCAGCCTCCAGTGGTGTTTCATTGATATTGACCCCCAGCCAGCAGCTGAACTCATAAGTTTGCCCTTTGAACTCAACCTAGCTTTTTTCCTTCATAAATCTAGATCTAGAAGAAAAGAAATATGTACATTTAAAAGTGAAGCTTGGGGGTGGGGAGAACTAAGAGATACATAGCAGTGATGAAACAATTGGAAGTAATATTGCCCAAATGAAACAGGAGATAATAAATCAATTCTTCCCAGATGATGTTCCTTGCAAAGTCATCTCTGTTGGCCAGATCAACGATATAGATTCAGAGTGTATTTAAGGGTAGATACCAAGGAGCTCGCCTCAGCAAATTGGACCTAAGTGCCGGATCTAACATTTTTTTGCCGTCATAGGTTGGTCCTTGTCACCAGTATTTTAACCAGGTGATCACTAACAAAGAGGTTCACAACCGGTAGCTTGCAAGAACTTATCAGTTGCAAGAAAATACAGAGAGCACCAAGATGTGAGCCATTGGCGGGCGTCAGAAATCACTTCTTGATTGACCCGTGGACCCTCGTTTTGCAATAATGTGTTCCAATATTTTTCCAATCCTCCAGCAACATGATGTTCAAAAAGAAACACAACTTCCCAAATGTTTTGAAGATCCATTGAGTAATGTACGCTAATGGTTATAAATTGATGTATGGAATCATCAGTCTCCTTTGTTAACTCAAAAAAATGATTAAATTGATCTTCTTCCATCTCCATCTATGGAGTAGCAAATATTAATGGCTGATTGGTGACTGATTGGGAAAGTTGGTTGAAATGTATATGGCATAACTTGATGACCGGAGTTGCAGCTTTAAATGCCTTGTGTTATACTGGTTCCTTGGAGTCAAGTTGCTGAAACCAATCATGGCTGTAGGGAATGGCGGAATTTGAGTTTTTCACAGGTAGTTTGAATTTGGAATCAATCCCCTCAATGATTTTTTTTTTCCATTCTACTTTTGCCTCGCCCAACAAAGATTTTTGAAGCATTTGCATACATAATTATGTATATTAATAATCTTAATGGATACAGTGGTGAGTCTGGTGACATCAGATTCTGCATTGGTCCTTGCAAAGTTGGAAGTTGACAGGTTTGAAAAACTGAACTGATCGAAAAACGTCTGGTAGGCGGGAATTGATGGAGCAAGTCCCCTAACAAACAAACACATAACCTGACATACAATGATGCTGATTTTGAAAGGAAAAATTTCTTCTTCAGAGCTCTGGATCGAGCCGAGTAACGGATTGAGCAGTTCCAAATTGTTGTCTATTTCTATCAAGTTGTTTAAAATCACATTGTACCAGGACATCGGATTATCTTTGGAGTTGGGCAATTTCAAAGCGAGTGACAAGGACCCTATCTTTCCTTACAACGCAGGCAAGATTATCTGTTCCATTCTACATGTAGTTTCACTTTTTTGGCTCTGGTATATCATTCATCCTCTGGCGTCTGGCAACCCCTACTCGACAGTGATGTAGAAGTCCGATGGAGTCTCTGAGAATTTCTTTGGAAGAGGTCCACGCGAAAGCTTAGAAATGGAATGGCTAGCTATCACATAGATCCGAATCTTGCCAACAGACTCACCTTGGTACTCTTTTTCCGCCTTTCGGTCTGCATTACTCGCTCTAAAACATCTGACCATCCTCGCAACTGAGTCGATTGGACCTTCTTGCATCTTTTTAGTCGATTGAGCGTTGGAACGGGCGATTGATAGAGGGAGAAACCGACTGACAGGTAAATTGACATCTAGCAAGAGCGCAGCGGAATGCCATCAAGTCCCGGGGCCGGTAGTCACGGTCGACCGGGCCGCCCCATGCTTCACTGGACGGGAGGGTTGGACCGGAGTCCCGAGGCAGGGACTCGGAAGGATGTGCACAACCAATCCTTGTGGCACTATGTACTAGCAGTTGAGTTGTCTTCATGGGTCAGTGCCGGCCAATGAGCTTGCAGAACTGCAGGTGACTTGCCGCCAGGAGATTTCCTGTGTGTTCAGGCACGGCGGCTGAGAAGGTTGGCCGGCACATTGCAGCCGGGCGATTAAGCCGACCAAAGGTGAAGGCAGGTGAGAGCTCACCATCCGTCGGTGAGCAGACTGAGCCGATCACGGGGCTCAGACTCACTGATCTGAAGGCAGACTGGCCCCGGCGCGACAGAGGGCCTGGCGGCCTTAACTGCTGAAACAGCGCAGGAGCTGAGCCGACCAACGTCGATGAACGAGTGGGGTGACACGGTTGTGTTTCATCGACTTTGAAGCAGACCGCCCGTGCGCGGCGCTTGCTGAGACGGCCTTAACTGCTCCCAAACAGCACGGGAGCTGATCTTTGAAGTTTGATGCCGACCAGCGTTGGTGAACGAGCTGCATCAACGCGGCTCTTTCATGGGTTTGGAAGAAGACCGGGACCCGGAGCACCTGGCTCTAGATCCAGTTACTTGTCGACGAGCGTGATATTCTAATTGAGGTCTGACAAAACGAACAAGAACAAAAAAAAGAGCTTGCTACCGCATTGGACTTATACCTTTGCGATCATTTTGATAGGTGAAGCGACACCGTCCATTGCCGACTGGAGTGTCACATTTGGCTTTCGATCTGGCGCATGTTAACCAAGCTGAATTCATATATGGTATGCTGCAGGCCCAGGTCTTGAACAACGGCTACCACACCGGGCCTTTGTGTTGACTGAGCTTCATGCTAAAAATAAAATACACAAAGGCTCAGGTAAAGACTGAGCCGAGCTGGAATTCTGCTACTACTGAGCGATTGTGCTCCTACTGAGCTGGTGGTGCTACATCCTTGGATATGAAAGACACTTCTCCCCCCCCCCTCCTCCTCCAAGCACGCCAGTCCAATCCCTCTCCTTCCCCCGCACCGGCACCACAAAACCTCTGCCGGTTCACTTATAAACATGACTCCCTCCTATACCCCTCCACTTTCATCTCCCCTAGCTAACCCCGGACCAAGACCGGCTAAGGGTATTTTCTTTGGTCCCGCCGCATGCACTCCAAAGCAATGCATCATCATCGACCTTACACAAGCTCGGCAGTGCCCTCACTTCACTTCTAGCGCCTCCCATCAGTACCGCTTCACCCATAAAGGAATGAGGCTCTTTGCTGTCAAGGGTACCAACTTTCACGTTTCGCCAATTCTCGAGGATGAGGATGACGAATCATACTGAATTCTTGTGAGGTTCTAATCTGCCTTCTCTTATTCAAGTTAATCTTCTGATCTGTTTTTTCCTTCTGTTTTTGCTAACTTCCTTCAAACAGATTCCATCTCCAAAATCCTTTCATCTCTACCGATGTTATATTAGTCAAAACGTTTTTATTCTTCTAGGACTCGTACTCTACTGTTTTTGATTCATCTCGCTTGATGTCTTGGACATTATGTTCATGAGTTATAACTTGACTTGAAATTCCTTTATCCACTGTGTTCAAAACAAACATCAACACCAACAATCGTAAGTATTCTTTAGCTTTTTGACGATATTAGAATACTGATCTGAACACGCTGAAATCGACAATGCTTGCTTCCTTCATACTCATAGCAAGGTTTTCTGTGGCGCCATGAAAAACTGCCGAAGCTAGGAATACCTCGGCTTGACAAAACAAGAAGGGGATAAGAGATCTGGCAAGTCTTCCTTTTGGATTACTCCATGCACTTCAGTGAACATGATCACTAATCAGATCCATTTCTTTATAGCCTAACGGTTCCTAGCCATGAAACTGAAACACGTGGATGCATCCTCTCCCTCTCCCTTTTTTAAATTCTGCTTTGCTTTTATTTACAACTATGATCTATTTAAATACTAAACTATTCTGCTCCTCAAAAATTTACACATGCCCTCCACTTTGAAAGATTTTATGAAGATTTTGATATTTCAAATCAATTCTCCAATCCCTTATCAAGTGTTGAGAGTTGTCCACAATATCTGAGGTTTGACTGGTAACACACCAGGTCGAGTGCCATAGACAACATGTTTTTAAAATTGTATCCTGGAAACATTGGTTCCTTCAGATTATTTTTAAGTGATTGCTGTTTATCGAGGAAGATAGCTATAATTTATAGATATAGATCACCCAAGCTGTGTGTCGCGTGTTGGATCATATAAAACAGCCGGATCATCTAAGTCTTCATGAGGGTCATCCAAAAATTCACCTCACAGAATAGATTTGATAGATAAATATTTGAGACATGAAAGAGGCCAGGAAGTCATGATGAGCTTTGCAGGCTCCAGCTGGGCGGATAAACAGACCGAGAGATATGCTAATTAGGGATTCGGTGATGCATCGTATAAGCTCAACTGACACCGGAGATGGAATCTCCAACACATAGAGCCTCCTCAACCGTTTGGACTTCATTGTAAGTTTACAGGCGCTTCATAAACTTTATCCCTATCTCTAACTCTTTCTCTTCTCTTTGTGATCTCTCAATTTAGCTCTCTCAGTGTTTCATTATTGCGCTTAGTTGATAATTGGGTTTTCCTAGAGATTCGTCACACATTCATTCAATAAAAATAAATAAATAAAAGGTTTGCTAGAGCGTTGAATGACCTTAAAGATCATTTTGGTCATTACACCGTGACACCGCCTAGTGCCGACTGGAGTGTGACATATATGGCCATGGTAAATTGGGCACCGATCCAGGACTAGGTATTGAACAAACACGACCGCAGCACCAGGCCTTTATGTTCTCTGAGCTTTGTGTTATGCACACAAATGACTTGACGAAGGCTCCGTGGAGGCTGATCAGTGGAGCTGGAATATATTGTACCTACTGTGTTCACCCTCATAACTTCAGAAGCAGACTGGCACCGGGGGGTAGTAAAGTCAGCTCATTCACAGTAACTAATTAACCATTCAATCATCCTTCATCCATTTTAAATTATAAAAACGCTTATTCTTTTATCTTCAGGAAACCCACCGGGAAGTGATTTCATTCTACATAAAAGTATATAAATTTCTAGGAACCAACAATGAAGTTAGCCAGGCCCGGCCTCAGTTCTATCAAAGAGTATACTTCTTCCACGTTTTCTAGGTGGGAATTTTTCCCATATTCTTCATCTGTTACAGCAATGTAGTAATTTGAAGTGGCCGCTGAAGCACGGATTGAAGATGGTGATCAAAGTATGCATTCCTACTCCGGGGGTCGGGGGCGGGGTTTTCAGCGGGGGTTTTCAGGGCTGAGTACACGCAGTTGGTTGAGGGGCGGCCGACTAAGACAAGAACAGCGGACAACTTAACCAGGAGAACCGGCCCGACCAATCCGACCATCCAGAACACCGATCTTCCAGCCTCGATTCCGAGTTCTTGCTTGGCCGGTGGTCACATCAAAACAATGTCATTGGGTTGGTCTTGATCTCCATCTACATATCTGATGAGAATACTTGCGGTTGATTTTCTCGAGAAGCCCTTGAAACCTTATACCTTGGTCTGGTAGTTCCCATGTATAACCTTTCTGGAAATTGACCTCGTTCGAAAACATATATGTTTGATCTTCAAAGGAACCGAGCAATGTGCCAGCAATCCGACCGACGAGGCCCAAAGTATCGGTCTCCAAGCAGACTCCTGCCGACGACGGATCCGGGAGCTCAGCGAAGCATTGAAGGAAGAGCAGAGCAGACTAGAGCGACTAGAAGCCATCGAAAGCTCGCTAATTATACATGCGAGTCTGCGGAGCCAACAAGCGGGGGACGAAAGCCGGCCGCATGAGGAGGGCGGGATGGGCCCGAAGCGGAAGGCCTATCAAGCGGTGAAGCCGGAGGTCAAGGAGCTGGTGATCCAGAACGTGTTCGACAAGGGCATGACCCAGCGCAAGGTCTCCGAATCCTTCGGCCTCTCCGAACGCACCGTCAGACGGATCATCAAGGCCGAGAAGAACATCCATTCGGGCCTCGAACCGGCACCCAAACGCCGCCGAGGCGCCAAGACTAAACTGACCAACGAGATCATGAGCGAGCTGTTATTCAAGCTCGAGCGCCAACCGAACATGACCCTCTCCGATATGAAGCGCTACGTCTCCGAGACTCATGCTGTTACTTGTACGCCCCAGTCGATTTCGAGAATGCTCTCCAGTATGGACGTCAATTGGAAAACGACCCTCAAGATACCCTCGCATTGGAACGAAATCAATATCCTCCGGGAACGCCATGATTTCGTCGTTCGAAGAGCTATCGACGTCGATAAGCAGTTGATCTTTGTAGGCGATACCGGCTTCGATCTCAACTTCAATCGCTCCCAGGATCCTTCTTGCTCAGGTAACCCCGCGATCTCCCATCCGTTTTCCTTCTCTCTCCAAAAAAGGATCAATCTCTGAGATATAATTTTTTTTTTTGCTTGAGGAACAGAGCAAGGAGCCAGTCTAAGTCTAGTACCCAGGACGTCTCAAGCAACCTTACTAGGCGCGATGAGCACGAGCGGATACGTGTACCACGAGATCATCAATCCGGACGGGAAGCGAGTGACGGTGCTGAGCAGGGAGGACTACGAGGAGTTCCTGATCCGGCTGAGCACGAAGATCGACAGCCGGCGCAGCGTGGTGATTGTGGAGCGAGCGAAGCTAGCCGGAGGAAAGGAGGAGGAGGAGGAGACGCGGCCATTGGAGGGCCGCTTGGCCGAGCATTTCCGCGAACCCGACTCGCTCGCATCGCTCCTCTCGTCTACCCATCCTCCCGTCGGAAACCATCATCCCCAAGCATCGATAATCAAGACGGAAATCGACTATCTGCCCGCCTGTTCCGGCTTCCTCAGTCCCCTCGAAATCAGCTTCGTCGACCTCAAAAACCACATCAAATCCTTGGACCCTCCGATCCATGAACGCAGCCAACTCATCCTCCATCTTACTAACGCTATCCACTCCCTCTTTCCCGCTCCTAAGCCCCAGGACCTCTTCAACTTCGTCGCCAAGGAACTCTATCCTAATTGTTTCAATTTGGCCCCCATCTCCGGCCCGATCATCAAACATCCTGACGCCTTTCAATCTCCCCCTCTTCGCTAGCTTCATCCTCCTTCCTCCATCCCCAAATGGACATTTTTTTTTATTCCCTTTGATTTGTAAATCATGCAGTTCTTCAAAAGTCATAGAAACATCATGCACACATATTTGTCATTTTTTTGGTTTTGTTTTAAGCACCATGTTGTTAACTATAAGTCAATGTCAACTGACCGTATTATACATAAGTCATCACATTTGCAATGACCAAAGGGTAACTCCCAAGTTGAGAGAATCTGGTGCTGGAGTTGATGATAGAGTTTATTTGCTTTGGGGAAGGGCGCTGGACATACAGTCGTACCGGCCAGACCAAACCAAGTTGCAAATCAAAGTGTCTTGTTCACGTATCGATATATAAAGACTTCACTTGCCTGTCTGATTCCTCGACGATACTTGTGTCCGTCGTCCCGCTTCAAAACTTACTACTAACTTCATAGTCATACAGCCTTCACCAGTTTTATTTGATCTTTTTGCTTCAACGATGACCTTGGCCAGCATCGACTGTATAGAACCTGTGGTCAACAGATGAGACGTCTGAACCTCGCCTCAAAGCCTGTCCAAGTATTAATGCTCCACCAAGTGATTCGGCCGAACGTCTAGAAGGCTTTTTTTACTTGATGAGCTTGGGTCAGTCTGCTCTTGACTTGACCTTTATCTTATGCAGATTCATCGTATCTATCAACGAGAAAACATCCAGATGCAGCCTCTTTCCGCTCTCCTGATCAGTCTGCGACTCAGTTTTGTTAGAATGGCAAAACTAAAGATTCATATTTCTTAGTCAGAATTGTGTCACAGGAGCACAATGTAGAGAGAACACGAATAAGCTGCCTTACCTAAAGGGCAGGGACGGGCAGACAGAGATGAAGAGAGAGAAGAAGAGATCACGACACAAAAAGGTCGGTTTGATCAAGTAATGTAACAAGAAAGAGAACAGGAAGATCGCGTAGTGCGATAAGAAGAAGAAGAAGATAAAGATTTGAACAAGAAAGTCGCTTGAAGCGAGACAATGAAGAATGGAAGGGGGTGAGAATGTGGAAACGCGGTACGAGGTCGTCGCGAGTCTACTTGGTGATGTGGGAAGTTAAAAGGTATGGGTCTTGGATGTGGATAGGGGTATGGTGGTTGATCTGAGTTATCGTATTTTCGATAGGAAGAGTTGCAGATGGGGACAAAGGCAGGATGAGACGATGAGCTTGATTTATGAGTTCTCATGAGCTCTAAATTCATCCGCTGACTCACGGGTATGACTGGGTCGGTTCGTCGTGTCTACTCTTCCATCAGGGGAGTTTGCACGGTATCCTGTACCTGGTTAGGGTCGGTTTGTATTACTTCCTGTGCATCGATGTCTGTGACAACGGTATTCAGGGTAGAGTCAGTCTCAGTTGCAACTTCACAGGTCAGGGGCTAGGGCCCAGCCTGGTTTAGTTCAAAAGAGAAAAAGAGTCGTACTTACGATCAGATACTTGCTTGAGTAGTTTATCGGTTGCATTGGTTGCCGCGATGGGATCTGTATCTTGACAGGCTGACATGCTTTGTGCTTTGGAGCACGAAGCAGAAATGCTGATGACGTCGGCTGTGAGATGCTGAAGAGCCCGTTTGATGTTGATGCGTCCTACGGGCTTGGTAAGGTAGTCGGATGTGTTCTGCGAAGACGGAACAAATTGAAGACGAATGACCTTGTCCTGAATAAGATCTCGAACGAAATGGAGACGAAGATCCATGTGCTTAGTCCTGAATCCATTCTGACTTGTCTGGCTGAGGGCGAGATCGATTGCCCCCTGATTATCCAAAAGGATGGTGATTGAGGAGGTGTCCGAAAGAAGTGAGACTTCCTGCATCAGGTTGTTGAGCCAGACGACTTCCTTTCCTACGTCGGCAAGAGCTTTGTATTCGGCCTCGGTCGAAGAAAGGGAAACGGTACATTGTTTGGTCGATTTCCAGGAAATTAGATGAGAGTTCCATGAGATCATGTAGCCGGTGTGAGACCGTCTGGTGTCTGGGCAATTGGCCCAGTCAGCATCGACCGACGCAAACAACGGAGATGGTTTCGCATGCCCGAACAGTAAGCCTCGACCAATCGTCCCTTTTAAATAGCGAAAGACCTGCATGGCGGCTTTGTAGTGTGAGAGACCAGGATTTTCCAGGAACTGAGATAGTTTTGCTAACCCGCAAAAGATATGTCGGGCCTGGTGAGAATGCTGAGGTAATTTAGAGAGCCGATTATGGCTCTGTAGTTGATGTTCAGGGGTTGGAGCTGTTGAATGTCTGAAATGGATGCTTTGGAAAGATGAGATCTCGGGTCAAGAGGACAGGAGGCACTGTGAAGTTGAGTGACTTCGAATTCAACCAATTTTCGCTCAATGTATTGAGTTTGATTGAGAATAAGGCCATTGGAGTGTCGGTCGAGCTTCATTCCTAGAAGGAAGGAGGCCTCTCCCATGTATTTGATGGAGAATTCCTTCGATATCTCGTCCCGAAAGAATTCAGGGTCCGGTCCTACAATGATGAGATCGTCAACATGAGCGAAGATCCAGAGGGGAGTCGGAGCAGTGCGCCAGAAGACACAGGGATCTGCGAGGGAGGTGCTGAAGCCGATGGAAGAGAGAAAGCGACTGAGGCGCTTGTACCAAGCTAGTGAGGCTTGCTTCAAGCCATAGATCGCCTTTCTCAGTTGGAGAACCACATCCTCGCCCGTCTTGTAGCCCGGAGGAGGAAGCATGTAGACGGTTTCTTCCAGCTCACAAGTGAGAAATGCACTTTTGACGTCGAGCTGGTGAATCTTGTAGCCATGAGTGACCGCATGAGAGAGAAGCATTCGGAGAGATTAGGGTTTGCCAGTGGGTGCGTACTTCATGTCGAAGTTGAGCCCGTAGGTTTGTCGAAACCCCTGCGCACATATCCGAGCCTTGTACTCGACGACCTGATTGTCGACACCAAGCTTCTTCTTGTATGCCCAAGTTGACGGGATACATGAGTGGGATGCTAGTCGAGGAGTTTCGATCCAAACATTGTGTTCGTGCATGTTTTCAATTTCCTTCTTCTCAGCAGCAAGCCACTGATCCTTCTCGTCGCTGCGTAGGGCCTGAAAGTGATTCTTGGGTTCCACCGTGGTGACGGAGTAGGAGGCGGCTGGTCTGCGAGATCTTGCTATGATGTTGTCAGGGTTGATGTCACTGGTGACTTTGGTTGGATGAGGTCCAAGGCGTAGGATGAGCCTGCGAGGGGGTCTGGAAGGTTCAACGTCTGTCATCTCGGTATCCGAGTCGGCAGGCCCTCCTGCCTCGTCCTCATCAGACGGGAATTCGTCCATCACATGATCTGGATCAAGTTGATCCTCTTCGGAGTCAGAGTCGGGATCGGGTTGACCAGAGACCGAGTCGTCTTGGTTGAACGGGAAAGGAGTTCAGCCGGAGAAATCAGGGAGCGGATCAAGGGGAAAAGGATCGGTGCTGGGGTTGATGGCCGAGAGTCCAGGGAATGAAGATTCATCAAAGTACGCATGTTTTGTCTCAAAGATTTTTTTGTCGTCTTTGCGGACAATCCTGTACGCCGAATAGTTGTTGCTATAACCAATCATGATGCCTTCCCAAGAGATCGGGTCGAATTTGGATCCCCGAAGCTGATTTGGCTTGACTACCCAAGCCTTGCAGCCAAAGGGACGGAAGAAGGCCATGTTGGGAGTCTTTCCAAAGAGGAGTTCGATAGGTGATGTCTTGCTTTTTCCAATTGAGGGTAAGCAGTTGGTGGTGGCCATGGCCGTCAGCACCGCTTCACCCCACCATTCCTTGGCCAGCTTGGACTGAACCATCATACAACGAGCCATGTTGATTATGGTCTTGTTGGCCCGCTCTGCGAAGCCGTTGTGCTGAGGAGTGTATGGCGGAGAGACATTGTGGGCGATGCCGGCTTCCTTGAGGTAATCCGCCAGAAGACCGTTGCAGAACTCCCCACCACCATCGGTGATCAACCTCTTGATTGATCTACCGGTTTGATTCTCGAAAAAGTTCTTGAAGTCGAGGATGGCGGCGGTTGCATCGGATTTAACCTTGAGGAGAGTCGTGCTGATGTAACCTGTGTGCTGATCAACTAGTGTGAGGAAGTACTTAGAACCCGAGTTTGTGGACGGGTTGATAGGTCCGACCAGATCACCGTGGACGACTTCAAGGGGAGAGGACGTTTTGTCGAAGTGACTGCTGAATGGGTGGCGAGACACCTTCCCCTTCATGCAGACGTCGCAATTGGGGCTAGCTGTGAGACGAGTATCAGAGACAGCCACTTTCAGACGAGCTATGCTGGAGTGGCCAAGTCGTGAGTGCCAGGTGTCGTAGGCAGAGGTTTTGTTGGAGTGAGTAGTGGTCGAAAAGACGGTTGGCGCCGAAGGAATGGGGCCGATGCATTCTTTGATCTCTAAGATTCCATTGACCATGTGACAATTGAAACGAATAGATTGATCGATAGTTACTACAGAGGTATCATCTTGACGGGTGATAGAGACGGAGTCCTTTGATAGGGTCCCCAGAGAGAGCAGGTTGCGGGGAAAGACCGGGAACGTAGAGGGATCCAGGTAGCTGAATGATTTTGCCTGTGGAATCCATGATGGAGGCAGTGCCCTCAAGGGTTGCGACCCAAATCTGCAGAGTTCTTGCCGGTGCTGATAGGCGTATTGCAGGCGTGAGTGTCAGTAAAGAAATCCATGTTGTTGAACATGTGGGTGAGATGCGCCCGAGTCGAGGACCACAGGGAGGTTTGTGGAGTAACGGACAACATGATAACAGTGGTGATATTGACTGAAAGCTTGGTTTTTCGAACTGGAGGCGACAGGAGGGATCACGCTGGAGTTCGCAGAGTTTGAGGGAGCTGATGTGTGGTGCTGAGAGGGATTCTGACGAGGTTTTCTTATGGGCCGCATCTCTGGGTGCAAGGACCAGCAGGTAGCTTCTGGGTGTGTAGCATCTGGATGATGCTTACCATTACGACAACCTGATGGAGGACGAGTTCGGGTGTTGTTGAGAGCCACGGCCAATCTTTCCTTTCTCTTCGGTTCCTCTTCTTCTTCTTCCGCGACGTCTTTGAGTCTTGCGATGAGGAGCAGATGGTTTTGCATGATGTCTGCATTGAAGACGAAGGAATCGGTGAGAGCTCGTCTAGTATGTGATAGTTTTGACACAATCACACTGCATACGTCCTTGCTGGGCATGGGATGAGCTATGGACGCAAAGGCATCGAGAGAGTCTTGAATATCACGGATGAAAGGGAGCATTTTTCCTTCATATTTGATTGCATGCCAGTTGGTCATGCACTTCGTGTACCGATGGGTGGTGTATCGAGCATAGGTGTCCTTGACGTCCTTCCAGATCAAGTAACCATTGTCTTCGTTTTCTTCCGTGACAAGGCCGTTGTGGATGAAGTCGGCAATCCTCATGGTGATGGCATAGCCTGCTTCCGCCATTTGCTTCTTGATTCGAGCAGTGGGATTTGGTCCAGGGTCGGCGATGACGACGCTCCATAGATCCTTGCTTTTGAGGAAAGACCTCAACCGTTTGGTCCACATGGGGAAGTTGCTTTCCCCCTTCAACATCGGTAGAAGAGCGAGTTCCTCTTTGAACGAAGGAGTTGCGGCTGCCATTTCTTGTCCGTGCCCTTGTAGAGTTTTGTCCTAGGAAAGCTGAGGTATGGTCCTGCGTCGAGACTGTAAATCTGTTAGAATGGCAAAACTAAAGATTCATATTTCTTAGTCAGAATTGTGTCACAGGAGCACAATGTAGAGAGAACACGAATAAGCTGCCTTACCTAAAGGGCAGGGACGGGCAGACAGAGATGAAGAGAGAGAAGAAGAGATCACGACACAAAAAGGTCGGTTTGATCAAGTAATGTAACAAGAAAGAGAACAGGAAGATCGCGTAGTGCGATAAGAAGAAGAAGAAGATAAAGATTTGAACAAGAAAGTCGCTTGAAGCGAGACAATGAAGAATGGAAGGGGGTGAGAATGTGGAAACGCGGTACGAGGTCGTCGCGAGTCTACTTGGTGATGTGGGAAGTTAAAAGGTATGGGTCTTGGATGTGGATAGGGGTATGGTGGTTGATCTGAGTTATCGTATTTTCGATAGGAAGAGTTGCAGATGGGGACAAAGGCAGGATGAGACGATGAGCTTGATTTATGAGTTCTCATGAGCTCTAAATTCATCCGCTGACTCACGGGTATGACTGGGTCGGTTCGTCGTGTCTACTCTTCCATCAGGGGAGTTTGCACGGTATCCTGTACCTGGTTAGGGTCGGTTTGTATTACTTCCTGTGCATCGATGTCTGTGACAACGGTATTCAGGGTAGAGTCAGTCTCAGTTGCAACTTCACAGGTCAGGGGCTAGGGCCCAGCCTGGTTTAATTCAAAAGAGAAAAAGAGTCGTACTTACAATCAGATACTTGCTTGAGTAGTTTATCGGTTGCATTGGTTGCCGCGATGGGATCTGTATCTTGACAAGTTTTACATGCAAGGCCATGGATGATTGGAGCAGGGTTTTTGCGCCCGACGAGATGCTCTCCTACCAGGATGATATTCCTGGACATCCACTGTCTCCGCCAGTCTTCCTTCCCGAGCCTACCAGTACCTCTACCTCAGCTGGTCCTGCCACGATGAAAGCAAGCTCTGGTCCACCAGTGCTAGATAATCCGGTTGATCAATCAAATCGGCACCATCGCTTTCATCAAGACTCGATGTCAAAGTATCGGCTTGCTCCTACTGCTTCAGCAGAGCTCCCATCGACTCCTCAATCAACCGCTCTTCGAACAGAACCCAACCATGAAAACTTCTTGGGATCTTCTTGGCTAGAGAGTTTCTTACATCACTCGGCGGGAAATAGTAACCATCACAACCACGAGGTCGCCAGACAATCATCCTTGCAAGACGTTCATCAAGCACAAAGTTTTGGGATGCTTCCAATACATGAAAGAGGCTCATATGATCTACCGTTGAACAATTACTTCCAGGAATCCAATCACAATCCTGGATCTCTTCCCAACTATTCCTTGATCTCAAATAGTGTTGTCTCTCCATACCCATCCTCATTCCACCCTCATGATTCAGTGATGAATGATCAGTCTTCAACCTATTTCCCAACTTTCTTCAATACAATCGGTCCTTTTCAGAAAGAAGACTATATTCCTAAAAATGTGTATTTACCCTGGGAAAAATTTATTTCACCCTGGAAAAAAACCTCTGCAGACTCTTCAGGATACCAATTGGAGGGTGACATGAATCACATCAATTCTATTCCTATAACAAGTTTGGAATTCAGGCCACAAGAAGTGCATGACTTTCATCTGTCACAAAATCCACATCTACTGCAACATGAGGATTCAGAAATTCATCAGTTTACAGAATCCCTTATAACATCACCTTACAAAGATCCAAATCTTCCAGAGGATGATCAGTTCTTACAAAGCACAGATCAACTAGGTCATGAGAATTCAGAAATTCATCAGCTTACAGAAACCCCTATAACCTTACCTCACAAAGATCCAAGTCATGCAGGGAATCTTCAAGAATCCAATTTTAACTCTTCCCCCATTGTAAGAAATGTTCAAAGTTCATCAACAAAAAAATTGTTATCCAATGATCAATATGTTGCTCAATCATCAGAAGTTTCCTTAAATCATCAGCCCCACCAGATAACAACAATTGTGGGCAAGAGGAAGTCCAGAAAGAGGAAATCTGTGGAAAAATTGAATGATGTGAATTCTGCTAGGGGTCAATTGGAAGATATGAATTGGAATAGTGTTATCAATAATCCGTCTCCAGAAACTGAAAGTCGTGCAACTCAGTCTTTAACTATGAATTCAAATGGAAAAAAACTGATGAACTTCAGCTTAGATGTGTTTGGGATCAAGAATCCATCAGATAAAGATGAAAGGGTTATTGGAAACATCATTAGCCATATACAATCTAATCAAATAGCAAAAGGGAGATTGGAAGTAAATCAGGACAATCCAGAAGAAGCTTGGCTATTTTTCAGATCAATCTCAATTGAAAAAAGGAAGGACCAAACACCCAATGGAAGGAGAGATTTCTCTGTTAGGACATTTTTCTTGAATGATTCAATCAATCAATTGTGGGCAAACAGTCAATCCTGGATACATTATTGGGAACAAAATTACGGGATTTGTTTCAAAGATTACACTAAATCATTCAAACATCTTACAAAAAATAAAAAGTTTTTTCCTTCTGATGTTGAGAAATTCCTCATCTTATTTCTGTTTTATGTGGATATGTTTGAGAAGATAATAGTCAAGAAAGAGAATCCAAAAGGAGTGGATCAGATAGGAAATCTCAATGAAAATGTGAAACCAAATCATATCAAAGAAGCTGCAGAAAGTTTTGAGAAGATCTGCCAAACCTTAGGGATTTTATCCTATGATGATCACGTGAAGAATCTTGGTTTTGAATATCCAAAAAATAGCCTGCATCCAAACCAATGCAGAATCAAGTTCAGTGACCCTAACTTTGTGGTTTGGAGCTGCCTAGAACAATGGGCAATTGGTTTGGACAACCAAAACTTCTATCAAATTTTGTTCTTGAATCAATCTGTTTTGGCAACTTCTAAACGATTCTTTAATGATATTTTTTGTTACTCTATTAGGAAATTGAATCAAAAGATGTTTCCAGAATAAGGATTTTACATTCTTCTATTTCTAGGTTTTTTACCATATGGTTCCAAGATACATTTTTTTCAGGTCTGGTTCTTCTTCAATTATCTTACAAGTGTTTCTTTGCAATATCCTATTCTATTAGAAATGGCCTTGCGGTACCTGGAACCTTTTGGCGGGTATCCCTCTATCCCTGATGGTACCCGCCAATTGGTGCCTAGTGCAGTACTTGGTGTCTGCTTTTAGGCAAAAAAACAGGTGGTACCTGCCCCCAAAACCCCTCCTCCATGGCTCAACCAAGACCATTTAAGCCTCATCCAGGTTGCTGGGGAGGAACCCTCATTGGCAACCTAGTTAAGAACAATCAGTTCTCCGGTAAGTACCCTCCTTGGCAATCTGATTCGTCTCAACAAAGTTGCCTGCAAAGATCTCTGGCAATCAGGCACAAATGCCAGAGTACTGCTGGTACCCGCCTCAAGTACCGCCATTACCCACCAGACAGTGCCAGGTGCGGCACCTGGTGCCAGCTTTTGGCAAAAAAGTAACTGGTACCCGGGTCCCATGGTCCCATCTCTATACTATGTCATATAATAGTTTTTCCCTCATTTCATCAAGTCTTCCATCAATCAATTCAATCATCCATTTTTTTTTCTCTCTTTATTTTATACTTTCCATAATTTCCAGTACTCATATGTAAATATTCAAACCTAGTTGAGATTTTTACCACTTTGGCCAGACAACTAATCAACAACATGTTTCCAATCAGACACTTCTGCAAGATCTATCAAGGGTGTTCAAAGTTGCAATTCAAGTGAAATGAGTTAAACACACAATAGAAACATTTAACATTGCTTGGTAAAACTTCCCTACACCACAAACTAAGTGTGGGCAAACCACTGAATATTCTCTGGAATATTTGGGTAAAGCAAACATCTCTGTATGGATATTGATTTTGAAGAGTTGTTGATCTGGATTAATGAGTCAAGTTTTGGGTTATTTTCAATCTAAAATCCACAGGCAGCTAAAATATTCTGGACAAGTTCTGTGGGAAGCAAAAAATCTATTTAAACAACCTACATATATTGGCTTTTTTTTCCTGGGGCCATCTCTGTTAAAAGCCAGGTGCAAGGAGGAAATAGAACAAAGAAATATTTCAAAAATATTTCTCAACACTTAGAATTCTAGAAGAATTTTTTTCTACTCCTAGGGGGGAGATCTGGGTGGCATAGCCACTTTCAATGAAAGAGCCAGCTAGACCAGTCAAAGATATACATACAACTCAATTGTTGACAAACATAATTCTTGCTTCACCCAGACATGTTTCTTACCCCAAAATACTTGTTCCTGTCTTTCCAATTCAAAATGTGCTGTGTTCTCACAGCCTTTTTCAAAAACAAGATGTGGTGCATGTGACACATTCAAAACTTGAATCCAGTCTATTTTAAATAGTGTTTCACACGGTGATTTAGCTGTTCACTTGAATTAAGGGACTAGCTATTCACACAGAAGAGGAGCAGCTTATCATGATTGTCCAATTGATCTCTTTATGTAAATTTTCTGTCTCCACTAACTGTAAAGGAATACCAAGATGCACCCTCTTTTCTCTATCCTTATCAGTCTCCAATTTCTGATTGCTTGCAAGGCTATGGATGATTTAGACTCATGGAAAATAATTTTTGCCCCTGATGAGATTCCTTCCAACTTGAATGATATACTTGGACCTCCAATTTCTGCTCCAGGCTCCCTTACCAATCCTGCATATACTTCAACTGGCTCTACCACAATAAAAACCTGCTCCAAAATCTCTAATAAACCAAATATGGATAATCAAGGTCAAATACATCTTCACCATTGCTTAAATCCAGATGAAATTTCCAGCTACCAACTTGTTCCTACTGATTCAACAGGAATCTGCTCAAATTCTGAATCAACCCGTCTTCAAACAGACTCTGATGAATCAAACTCCTTGGGATCTTTTTGGTTAGAAACTTCCTTACAAAACTCACAAGGAAATTATAACCATCATGATCATGACATCCCTAGCTCATCATCATTTCAAAAACTTCATCAAGCACACAGTCTGGTGATGCTGCCAAAACATAATTCAGATCAATCTTCAATTTCAAATGCATGTGATGAAATTTGTATTTTCCAAGAAGAATATTTTCCTGAAATTTCTTTACCCTATAAATCTACAGAATCCTTAGTAAACCATGAAAGGGTCAAGCACATTGCTTCTATGTTTACATCAAGCTCATCATTCAATACACAAGAATTCTGCAGGAATCAATTCTCACAAAGAGATGAAAGTCAAGCAATTCATCAGCTTAAAGAATCCTTTGGAGTACCTCACAAAGACCTGATTCATGCAAAGGATATTCAGGGATCTGCTTTTGACTCTTTGTGGCTTGCAAGCAATTTTCAAAGTTCATCACCCAGAAAAGTGAAATCCAATGCCCATCCTGTTGCTCAATTGTCATCGGATTCCTCAAGTCAGCCTCAGAATGTAAGAGGAATGACAAAGGTGAATTCCAAAAAGAGGAAATATGTTGGAGGTTTGGATCATACAAATTCAAGGTGTCAGAAGGAAGATACCAATATCATTAGTAACCCTTCTCCAGGAACTGAAATTAATGAAAATCAAGAAGTTACAAGAAAACCAAATCCAAAAGATTTTAGCTTCAGTTTGGATGTTTTTGGTATCAATAATCCATTAGATAAAGATACCCGTATTATTGGAAATATCATGAGGAATATCCAATCAAACAAAATATCAGCAGGTAGATTGGAAGTAGATATAGATAATCCAGAAGAAGCTTGGGAATTTTTCAGATCAGTCTCAATTGAAAAAAGAAGGGATACAAATATACATGGGAGAGGGGTTTTTCCGTATAGGAGAACATTTTTGAAAGATTCAATTCATCAATTATTGTCAAAAAGTCAATCATGGATAAATTATTGGGAAAAAAACTATGGGATTGACTTTAATGATTCTGTCAAATTATTCAAAACTCTTACAATATCTAAAAGATTTGATCAAGATGAAATTGAAAATTTCTTGATCTTATTTTTATTTTATGTAGACATGATTCATGAAATAATTGTGAAGAAAGGGCACTCAAAAGGAATGGATAATGGCAATTTAGATGAAAATTGTAAAACAAATCATATCAAACAAGCACTAGAAAGCTTTGAGAAAATTGGTCAAACCTTAGGAATTTTAGCCATTCATGAAGATTCTGAATTTGAATATCCAAGAAATACACTTCATCCAAATGACTCACAAATTAAGTTTACTGATCCTTATTATGCTCTTTGGAGTTGTTTGGAACAGTGGACAATCAGTCTGGATGATAAAAATTTACATCAAATCTTATTCAAAACCAATTCTGTTTTAAGAACTTGTAAAACATTCTTTAATGATATATTTTCTTACTCTATTAGAAAACTGAATGAAAAAATGTTTCTTCAAGGCTCTCCATTTAACTGAAGACTTTTATCGCTACTTTCTGAATCTTGATTGTTTGTAAAATATATTTTAACTCCTGAAAGTACAGTGGCACCGCTTGTCAGCCTCTGGGTAACTAACCTGAGTATTTAATAGTAAAAAGGTTGTTACTATGAGTTGACTGAAGTTTTTGAGCGTGGTGAGTGTTAGGTAGTGGGTGATTAATACCAGTCCTGTAAAGAGGAGGTTTCACTCTATCAGTATGGTCTTTACTGAGAGGCTTGCTATCAACAGCGCATCCGGATCAATACAAGGTATTAATAGGCATCCAGGGTACTAAGACTCACCTGGGATTGATTTGGTTATTCCCAAAAGGGAATGGGCTAACAATACTTATTAAGCTTTAACAAAATTAGTTGAAGATTAACAGGTATTGTTGATGGGAATATTCAGCAAGGCTATGAATACTGTGGATAAGTTGAGTAAGAGTACTGAAGCTTAAGAACAATAAATGTAGACAAGATTTATGTTGGTTACGTGTACTGTATCAATATAAATGTTAACTGGTTTAACTGGTGTCTGAATATTCTGGGGATTAATCAGTGAAAGAGGCACGGATTATAAGTTCCAGAATACTGAAGGGGGGAAAGAATGAGCGCTCAGAATCAAGGGAGCTTTGGCCAGGAGAATGAGTACATCAATTGAGTGACTGATCATTATTTGTCATGATCTGTAAGTGACATCATAATTGTGTACTAGTTGATCAATGTACTAGTAGCTCTTGATGCGTGTACTTAACAGATCCCCTAATAATGTAGTCATAATTGTGATCAGTGCATGTATTGAATGTATTAATTCTATTGACACTTAATACTTACTATTTAATACATGTACATATTTATTTGTAATAATATTTGACCGTGAAAATACTGTAGCAGAGGGATAACTTGTGGTACAGGTATTTCACTGACAAGGGAGTGAAAGGTAAGTGATAATTACTTATGTAGAACACAGGTATGTATTTAATAGATAAGTAATTAACAGATAAGATAACTGTAAGATAAATAAGGTAAGTTAATAATAATGATAAGATAACAAGAGGTAAAGGTAATCAACATTATGGATGAGTACTTATGTACATAAGTACAGGTGTTTCAGTTACTTGGTACATGAAAGGTACTGTGACATGTACTCTGTGGCTGACACCGCTGCCTTGATCTGTCAGCCTCTGGGTAACTAACCTGATTGATGTATAGAGAAAGGTTGTTACTATGAGTTGACTGAAGTGTTTGAGAGTGGTGAGTGGTAGGTAGTGGGTGTTTAATACCAGTCCTGTAATGAGGAGTTTTCACTCTATCAGTATGGTCTTTACTGAGAGGCTTGATATCAACAGCGCATCCGGATCAATACATGGTATTAATAGGCATCCAGGGTACTAGGACTCACCTGGGATTGATTTGGTTATTCCCAAAAGGGAATGGGCTAACAATACTTATTAAGCTTTAAGAAATTAGCTGAAGATTAACAGGTATTGTTGATGGGAATATTCAGCAAGGCTATGAATATTGTGGATAAGTTGAGTAAGTTACTGAAGTTTAAGAACAATAAATGTAGACTAGATTTATGTTGGTTATGTGTACTGTATCAATGAAAATCTTAACTGGTTTATCTGGTGTCTGAATATTCTGGGATTAATCAGTGGAAGTGGCACAGATTATAAGTTCCAGAATATTACAAGAGGAAATGAAGAAGTGCTCTGAATCACGGGTGAAAGTACCAAGAGGAAGAGCAGGGTTAATTGATTAACTGATCTTTATTTGTAATGATCTGTTAGGGCTGTCATAGTATTTACTAGAGGATCAGTAACTAGTATTTGTGACGTGTACAGCTGACAGATCCTTCAAATAAAATAACAAATAAGGATCAGTACATGTATTGCTTGTATTAATTCAATTGGTAATCAATAACAAGCAAACAACACATGTACATTTTTATTTGTAATGCTTCTTGTCCGTGATGACTTTGGGGACAAGGATAATTAATGATGAAGTCATTATTAAGATCACACAATAAATAATGAAGTAATTATTAATAACGGGGGTGCATAATTTTGCAAAGTATTTTTTGCAGGGGAAATCCATTGCAAGGTGCAAACCTTGCAAAAATATGAAAATACCCCATCTTTTTGCATTTTCAAGATGCCTCATGTTTTTCCTCATTGTGCAAGTGGCTGCTATGCCAAAAGTACTTTGCAAAAATCAACCTGAGAAGCCAAGTAAAACAAATTTGAGTGGATTTCTTTGCAAGGCAAGTGCACTGTGGGGAAAACCCCTGCAATACTACCTGCCCGCTCACACACACAGAGAAATTCTCCCCATATCATGCAGGGCTTAATCACATGCAAGGAAAAACAATGTAAAATTATCACAGCACCCAAAAATGACAAGCTTCTTTTTGGAAAACCTCGAAAACAAAGATCCAACAGGTGGAAAAAATGACAGGCAAGGAGAGCACAAAAACATGTGAGATGTACCTGAATTGGTACATTTCCAAAAGACAGTCTACAACCTTGAACCCGCGGCGGGGTCACTTTTTCTCAAGCTCCGGCGGCGAGGAGGAACAGATGATACCTTGAGACCTTTGGTGTTTCCAGTGCCAGCGGATGCTTCATTTGTCAAGGTAGAGGGGAGTATGGGTGAAGAGCTGGGTCGAGAGCGAACCTCCGTTTTTTGGGGTCTGCCTCCTTGTGCAGGTGCAGACGAAGATAGGTAGCAAACATTTCCCAGGTATTTTTCTCCAAAACCAGGACACCTGTGTGCTAATGCCTTCAAATTTTCAACTTCTTCTTTCTTGTTTTTCTCAGAGTCAGCTTTCTGACATGCCAACATGCGATCCCAAGGGATTTCCGCATTGGATTTGGCCTTCAAGGCTTCCGGTTTAGCGAGCGGACCTTTTTTTTTGACCTTGGAAGCCGATGGTTTGGCCTTCTTTGGAGCCTTCATTGGTTTTTGTTTGGTTGCTTTCGGCTTGGACACATACCTACCCCTCTTCTTGGGTGGCACAACCAAACTTGCATCGGATTCACCTGTAGGTCCAAAACCACATACAGAAACAATCAGTCAGCCTCAAATCAGTTTGTGCAAAGAAAGTCAATTGGACTCAACTGTTCGAATCGGAATACAAGTGGTCGTGATTGGGGCTTGTTGGCGACTGAATGGTTTTTGTTCCCTCCTCAACCGAAACCTTGGCCAAAGTTGCAGTTGATTTTGCATCATCCGTAGGTGATGAGCTGGTATTTAGAATCTCCGAGCTGGGGATTGCTTTTTCAGAGCCGTTCAGAAGCCTAGGAATGCAAGCAAATGGAACAGAGCCTGTCACGTGTGGGTTGTCCTTGGTTATTTGTTTGATTTGGGCCTGTATGTACTTATTCTCGCCAGCTGTCCAGTTACGTGAGTACATGAGATAACTTGTGTCTGGAGACGTCCCGCCGATTTCCGCTGGATTTGTGCCAATCAAGCGAGTGTTTCCTTGGTTAAGCTGATCGTCATGCAACCAAACACCCACTGAGCCCCCAACATTTCTGACTACCTTGCACCTGTAGTGTGTTCCGGTCCAGTATCCGCGTGCAATGAGGGTGTAAATCTCACCTGCAAAGTTCAACTTGGCTGGCCAATCCTGAACTGCCATGAAAGAACGTTGTTCTGCTTCGCCAAATATTGATGTGACTTCAAGGAAAAAATATAGATGAGGGGGAGAGACCCCACCTGTGAAACCCAGTTGAGAGTTTGATTTCAATCCAGCGGAATCTGATGCTGTCGGTGGATCCTTCAAGACAAGGCCGGTCGGCTGTTTTTCCTGATGATTCGATGGGAGGCAGGAGCAACAATGAAGACCAGTATTGGTGTGAATACCAGAAGTTGTCCACTGTCGGATAAGATTGGCAACATCACTGGTGGCAGTCTTGTTGCAATCAAAGAGAGCCTTTTTGATTAAAATGGTTGAAAGCGGCCGTGATTTTTTGATGTGCTGATGTTGTTCGTGTGGGTGTTCAGCACAGCTGAATGTACGTTTCTCCTCAATTGTGAAAAGGCCTTTAAGCGAGCAAGTAGCGTTCTTATTGGTGTCCAAGAGAATCTTGATGAAGAAGTCGCAAGATGCGAACCTTCCAGGGATGAAGCTACCCTCATATTTCTTGCGAGCAAGATTGAACAGCTTGGATTGTCCTTTAGAAAGTACTGATAGAATCTGGCCAACTTCGTTCAACTCGTAAGTGATGCGTGAGTTGAAATGGTGGCACAAGGCACTGAACAGGTCCTTGCCAGTGCCGTTGGTACCTTTCAGCCACAGTGTACTGTAGAGGGCATACAAGCTCTCCATTGCCGCTGCCATCCAGCATTGGTTGCGCCGCTGAGGATCCTTGGAAGCAGAGTAGCCAGGATATGTAGTGAATGGGTTGCGGTCAACATTGACCGATCCCCTTGGCCTTCCTATTTTCTTTGAACGGTTTTTGACATGGTTATTGTCAAGTGCCAGCTTCTCAGTAGTATCAGGGGCACGGCCGTCATTCGCATGAGTGTGTCGTTTTCGTTTTTTGAGCTTTGGCCAGCCCATCGATTGAGCAACATTTGTTTGTCCTTTTGTCTGTGAGCCATACTCAATGGACACTCCTCGCATGACAGCATCAAAATCTTCCTCAAGGACCTTCACAAAAGCAAATAACTCGACCATGCCAAGCAGCATGGACTTCTTCCCTGAACTAAAACCAAAAACAGATGAGATCAGAATCGGAGTGTGCCACCGTATCCATACACAATTAGGCACAAGCCAGCGTCACTCACCTAATCATGTAGTATAGCCTATGCATGCTTTCTTGGGCATTTTTTGTGTCAGGGAGATTGTCTTCTCCCTCAGGGTAATCGTCTAGCATAGCTCGTCTTGAGGGGAACAACATAGCCTCAACATCGGTGGCGGTCCACCAATCAAGCCAACGTTTGGCCTTGGGGAAACGTCGGCGGAGCTTGTCAATCTTTTCCTCATGGCTTGTTCCACCTGGCTGGGATCGTTCAAGCAGTGCAGAGCACATGCGCTCAAAGTTAGCCTAAGATGATGACACATGATCAGTACGGGTACGAGCCACAAAGAAGTATTGGAATAATGTGGTCTACCTCTTGCTCAACTGAAACAATTGTCCTGTTTCTCCTGATCCGAGTGATTTGCGCTTGGAAATGCTCATGGCATCCTTTCAAGTTGCGAAGAGCACGAGTCCAATCTGCCTTGCCAAATACCTCCATGAAAGCCCCAACAAATCCTTCCTTCTGAGCCATGGAAAAGTCAACCACTTGGCGCGCCAGAGTCTCACGTTTGGAAGGCAGGAGAGAGGGTATCATGAACTGTCTGAAAAGAATGGTAAAGTGGATTTGGTAATAATTCTCTGACAACCCGCGAATCCATGAGAGCTGGACGGGTATCCATCGAGTGAGTTGCTCGCAGAAAATAGGTGTAGTGAGGAGGCATCCATTCTCAAAAAATCGGTAGGTCACGTCCGAGAGAAGGCCACCTTGGTAAACTTCTCTGTCCTTTCCCCGAGCTAGAAGGCGATCGTGCATCTTGTTGGTCTGGAAGGTGAAGTGCTCCTTGTTTTCCAAGAAGGAGCAGGAGATAATTTTGAGCCCTCGCCTGAAAGGAAGAAGTAATGAGTAACCCTTCCTCCCATCATCTAACGAAGTCAAACAATGAATTCACCCAAACTTACTCAGTCCAATGAAACATATCTGTGATAAATTTGTCACCAACCCCGGCTCCGTGCCTCTCTGGGACATATCCCATCTCAGTCAATACCAGTTTGCGATAGTAACGCAAACGGTCACTATTCATCAGGGATGGGTGTATCTTGGATACACTTTGGCCAGGATCCTCACTTCCGTTTGGCTGGCCGATCTACATAAGTTTGAAGAGATTAAAAGATTTCAGTTTCTGTTTGACAAGGTCAACAACTAGAACAGACACTTACTTTTAGCTTGAAAGCCCCGGCTTTGGGGTTTTTCATGACCTCTGCTTTGAGAATAGCCTTTGAGAGAGGATCTGGCTTCTTAGCTTCGGGCCATGGGTGATCGTGAGTCCCTTTATGTCTAAGCAACCCCCATCCGGTGTGAGAACTCCTTTGGGAATGGTGGCAGTCCTGTGAGGGGGAAATAGCAGATGAGATATATCACGTATGTAATGATCTACTACAACTGTTACGGCTGGTTTGAAAGACCTGCCCCTCTATTGTACTACACTAGAGTTAACACAACAATTTATTTATTGTTGTGGCAAAACTGATGATAGAGAAAACTATGTGTAGCAGTCTCTTATCAAACCTAGATCAACGTGGATTCAGCAGACTATTTGAGTGGAAATGTTGAGTAAGAGATGTTTTTGTTTATATGTTTATGTATTTTGAAAAATGATTGACGTATGTGCTGATGATGAATGTGAATTTATGAGATGATAGTGAGGAAAAATGTGACTATTGAAAGTGTCTTTCCCTTCCTCCTTGAATCTTGGTCAAGAGCACAATGGTTTAAGATCACTGTCCCTTGTTTAAGATCACAAATTGTGCTGGTTGCTACTTTCTTTTTCCTATGCTTCTCAATGTCTGAATGATCTCAATGGGGCACTTGAGTAAGATCACACTGGTTAATGTATGGATTGATTTCTCTGTTCTGTCTGGTTGCTGATCAGATGAGATGATGAGATGTTGTGATGAGATGCTCTGATGATGAAAAAATTGTAATGAGGGGGGGAAAGCCCCTCCTTAAATAGTCTATTTTACAACCCGGCTGACTTGTGGTTCTAGCCCTAACCTATAATCTATAAATGGCCAACTTGTGGTTCTAGCCCTAACCTATAATCTATAAATGGCCAACTTGTGGTTCTAGCACTATACATGATTCTCAGTGTACATACAAACAATGTGGCTCACTTGTGGTTACCCTATGCAATGAATATTGAATATGTAAGCTAACTAAGGCCAACTTGTGGTTTACATTATGCAATAAGCATTTTGTATGCAAATAAAATTTAAATCCCAAATAACTTTTGACTGAGTGGAGCTAGCCTAGTGGTTCCAGTGAGTGACTATGGGTTAAATTCCCCGTAGAATGTGATTATGCCATAATATGCCTAAGAATATATGCCCTTCTACATATTGAACTGTGACTTTATGTAATTTGATACTTGAAACACAATTGGCATACTACATCCTCCCCCAACTTAATGCTGTCCGCAGCATTCCCGTTTCAAGTATCAAATTTTTCCAGACTCCAGGAGTACCCCAATTTTGGACATATGCACCACAGTTACCCATTTAATAGACAAGCTCCACCCCCTCTTATGCCATATAATTGAACCTTGCAACCCTTCCATGACCAGTCTTTACCAAGCGTCTTACACACCAATTCCTAAATATCACTGATCCCATCAGATGTACCCAAAATAAAACATTTCCCTTGATATCCTATCTGGTCCTAAAAACTCCTTCTTGATCCATTGTCTGTCTGATTTGAATTTTAGTTCTGCTCTGAGATTTCACTAAACTGGTTTTAATATATCCAACTGATTTCTTCTCAAGTAATTCATCCAAAAGTAGTATCATCTATCCCCTTTAGAACTCCTTGTCCTCCCCCACGCCTGCCACGTCCAAATCAAAGGCGCCTAATGAATCTATTTCAATCTCTTTCATCTCATTGGTCCAAGGAAAAGGCCAGTGGTTGATGTATTTGAAAGAGGCCCCTCAAAAATCTCCATATGCTGAGTTCCATGGTTGTCCGAAACACCTTCAAAACACCTTTCCCCCAGCGGAATACTCCTAAGCCTCCTTCAAATAATCCCCAGTTTACCAAAAAAGGTTTTAGCCATACTACTGTTTGAATCATTACCCAAAAAAAAACCATGTCTTCAATCTCCACCTGGTTAGTGCTTTCTCTTCTGTCCCCTATCCTTCAAATCGATGTTTCATGTGATCTGGTAGTTCAAATTATTCAGGAATATTTGGTGGTAATTATATTTCTTGTAAATCCTGTCCGTTCTTGCCGCAAATTTCATTCACATTGATTCTTCTCTTGAAATCACAGAAGTTTCCACTTTTAGATTGTACAGCATTTTTGTGAATCCAGTTGGTTTTCTCCACATCAATTTCAGATTAAGGTCATGATGGACCCCGGATTCCAGTTATTTCCGCATTTTTACAATACTTTCAGTTCAAGGTCATGAGGGACCATCGTCTTTTCCATTTTCCGACCATTTCTAGATTTCAGTTTAAGGTCATGAGGGACCCCAGGTTGGTTGATTTTTCAGTTTAAGGTCCTGAAGGACCCCCTTCAGATCGGTTGATTTTTCATTTTAAGGTCATGAAGGACCCCAGGTTGGTTGATATTCAGTTTAAGGTCATGAAGGACCCCAGATTGGTGGATTTTTCAGTTTAAGGTCATGAAGGACCCCCGGTATCCAGTTACTCCTGCTTTTTTCATATTTTCAGTTTAAGGTCATGAGAGAACACCTTGAGATTGTTTGATTTTTCAGTTTAAGGTCATGAAGGACCCCAGGTTGGTTGATATTTCAGTTTAAGGTCATGAAGGACCCCCTTCAGATCAGTTGATTTCTCATTTTAAGGTCATGAAGGACCCCAGGTTGGTTGATATTTCAGTTTAAGGTCATGAAGGACCCCAGATTGGTTGATTTTTCAGTTTAAGGTCATGAAGGACCCCAGATTGGTTGATTTTTCAGTTTAAGGTCCTGAAGGACCCCGGTACCCAGTTACTTCTGTATTGATATTCCACAGTAATCGTTCTTCCCCAAACACCTTGCGCATAATTTCTCTTCATATTGATTTGAAAACCTTGAAACTTCCTGGGCCCCAAAAACCACGTTGCTTGTAATTCATCTTCCAAAAGTGTGGGTGAAATTGACCAGAAAATATGCTTCTACTGAGTTGTAAAACAATATGCTTATACTGGGGAAGAAGGAAAATTATCCTTATACTGAGTCAAAGGAATATGCTTATACTGGGTAAGAAGGAAAATTATCCTTATACTGAGTCAAAGGAATATGCTTATACTGAGTAAGAAGGAAAATTATGCTTATACTGAGTAAAAATAAAAATATGCTTATACTGAGTTAGAATAAAAATATGCTAATACTGAGTAGAAATAGAACTATGCTTATACTGAGTAATGATAGGAAATATGCTTATAGTGAATTTCTAATTGAGCAGGGTGGTCCATGTTTGACCTCAGGCAAGCCAAATTTTCACTCCTGCTATACTATATAAGGGGGATAATGTAACTCCCAAAAAAAAAAAAACCTTGTATATACTATTCTGTTGTATCCTCTTTCTTTTATCACTATAATCTGCCATTTGTATTCTTCTGTTTTAGTATTTAGATAAGAAGCTTGATCATCCTAAAAAAGTATAACTATCCTGAAAAGAATATATGTTTTTATGTAAAAAGAGGTTAAGACCAAGTCCTCAAAAAGCAGTATAAAGGATTACTGCTTTCAGTTGGAGAGTTGATTTGATGTGCCACTGTTTGTTATGCTTTTGTACAATATTTATTAATAGCTTGCTCTGATCTATCTTACACCTTCAGCCATATTATCTTGATAAAGGAATCAATAATTTGATTGAGCATCCTCTTGCACAAGACCAAAAAATTGCTTTCCTATTTTTTTGAAAAAGGTTTGCCTCCAGGTGGAGTCTTCCCAGCCCATTTCAATCCCTTTCTTATCTTCATTATATATGTTGATCCTAATTTTATATCCAAGTTGGCCATATCTAGATTTCCAACGGCCTTCCTTCAAGAATGCTTCCATTCCAATATCTGTGAGTATGTGTATAAGATCCAAATTGCTAGTTCCACCACCCGGTAACTCTTGAAGCAGTTGATAAGTTCTTTTGATTTCACCGTAATACCATTCTTCTGAAAATACCCTTCTAAAAAGTTTCAGGGGTCTTTCATCCTTCCAGAAGTTGTGGGAATATTTATTATTCAAAGCTGGAACTTCTTGATAGCTCTTTCTCTGTTGATTTTCTAAATTTGGTTCTTGGGGAACAGCATTCTCTAGATCTGAAAGTGGGTAAAGTTCTTCTACGTCATGTGCCTCTTGACGGTCATATTTGATTGTCTCCTCTCTAATGTCAGAATAACTGCCCCAATCTTTTACTTGAACTGAATAACTACAACCAAAGAAGGGGCATTCCTGATCCAAAACTGGTTTTGTTGATGTGGGTGGCGAGTCAAACCTGCCTTCATCTTGACAAATCTCCATAATTTCCTTGTTCAAGACCTCTGGTGAATCTGTTGGAAGTGACTGTGATATCTTCATTTGTTTGAGTAAGATATTTACTGTCTCCTGCATACAATGAATTGAATCTTCAAGCTCTGATATTTGGGCTTGATTCTTTAAAATGATTGCTGACTGCTCCATGCTGAATTCTTCTTGGGTGGACATTCTTGACTCTAGCTTAAGTTCCGGAAAGAATTTCTTGAAAACCGCAGCTGTTGCCTCCCTTTCCCTTGACCTTGGTTTGGTCCTTGGTTGATTTTTCAAAGTTCTAACTTCACTGTCTGCTAGTTACCCAGTTCCCTTTGTTATCCACTTATCTAGTCTTCTGGTGCTGAGGGAGAGTTATTGTTGATCGTCTGAACGTTTTTCGGCCACTGTTGGGACACCAGATGTGAGAACTCCTTTGGGAATGGTGGCAGTCCTGTGAGGGGGAAATAGCAGATGAGATATATCACGTATGTAATGATCTACTACAACTGTTACGGCTGGTTTGAAAGACCTGCCCCTCTATTGTACTACACTAGAGTTAACACAACAATTTATTTATTGTTGTGGCAAAACTGATGATAGAGAAAACTATGTGTAGCAGTCTCTTATCAAACCTAGATCAACGTGGATTCAGCAGACTATTTGAGTGGAAATGTTGAGTAAGAGATGTTTTTGTTTATATGTTTATGTATTTTGAAAAATGATTGACGTATGTGCTGATGATGAATGTGAATTTATGAGATGATAGTGAGGAAAAATGTGACTATTGAAAGTGTCTTTCCCTTCCTCCTTGAATCTTGGTCAAGAGCACAATGGTTTAAGATCACTGTCCCTTGTTTAAGATCACAAGTTGTGCTGGTTGCTACTTTCTTTTTCCTATGCTTCTCAATGTCTGAATGATCTCAATGGGGCACTTGAGTAAGATCACACTGGTTAATGTATGGATTGATTTCTCTGTTCTGTCTGGTTGCTGATCAGATGAGATGATGAGATGTTGTGATGAGATGCTCTGATGATGAAAAAATTGTAATGAGGGGGGGAAAGCCCCTCCTTAAATAGTCTATTTTACAACCCGGCTGACTTGTGGTTCTAGCCCTAACCTATAATCTATAAATGGCCAACTTGTGGTTCTAGCCCTAACCTATAATCTATAAATGGCCAACTTGTGGTTCTAGCACTATACATGATTCTCAGTGTACATACAAACAATGTGGCTCACTTGTGGTTACCCTATGCAATGAATATTGAATATGTAAGCTAACTAAGGCCAACTTGTGGTTTACATTATGCAATAAGCATTTTGTATGCAAATAAAATTTAAATCCCAAATAACTTTTGACTGAGTGGAGCTAGCCTAGTGGTTCCAGTGAGTGACTATGGGTTAAATTCCCCGTAGAATGTGATTATGCCATAATATGCCTAAGAATATATGCCCTTCTACATATTGAACTGTGACTTTATGTAATTTGATACTTGAAACACAATTGGCATACTACACCGGTTCGAGTATTAACATCAATGTGTGCCATTGTTCCGGTACATGTTTGGTGGTGAACCTTTCCTGGGCAGGTACCTGCTTCGCCTTTGCACCGGGGCTCCCTATATAGAGAGGTTGGTCATTGTATGTCAGCACAAATGCAGACCATCGTAGCAAAAATGTACGAGTGATAATTGTCAAAAATTTAGCCCAGACTTTTTTAGGTAGGCAGCAATTTGATTGCTTCCAGTTGGAGGACTTCCGGCCCATCTGCACTGACGTTGATCACATACCAACACACCCAAACAATAGATACAAGTTACCTTCCATTCCCCATCCTTTGGAGTTTCAGAACACGTTCGCTTGGTGTAACCCACAGTGCCAAAGTTGAGGATTTTCGAGCTAGGTACCTTTACAAAAACGGTGCGGCCATTTGGATAGATAGGGTATCCATCCTTGTCAAGGATGGAACCATGATCAATGAAAGTCTCAAAGCGATCCTCATTGTGTGGCAAGAACCACTCTTTGGCACCATGTCTCGGAGTTGAAGTTGGGACAGAGACAACAGACTGAGACCGGTTGGATTCCTCCTCTTTGTCCGAGTCAGTGTCAGTGGAGTTGGTGGATTCAGATACATCAGTGGAGTAGTTGGATTCGTTGGATTCATAATCTGATCGGTCATCAGAATCAGAATATTGAGTTGGCAGGGCGAACGGCATGATAGATAAATGCAAAACCTCAACGGATCAATAGTTGGTATGGGTATGAATGAAGGTGGGTATGGGTATGAACGAAGGTGTGCTCCGGTGAAGTAGTTGTGGGCTAACAGACATACCCCGCAAACGACCACTTTTTAACTATTTCAAACTGTCCTCCCGGATGTGGGTGAAATAGATTTACATGCCTGATAATTGGAGGCTTGGTGCCTTGAAACCGAATCCTATGTGAATCTGTGTCTCACCACAGCAGTGGGTGAAATCCAAGGGGCTTGTTGCAAGGCTTGTTGCAAGTCCCATCTGAAATACTCACTTTGAAGAGTGTAGGGATATATTTCCAAGGCAATGTTTCAGGGTGATTCTGTCACACTCCTGAAACTTACACAACAGCCCCTCAAATATACAAAAAAGACCCAATGATTCACACTTCTAAAGGGTTTCTGTGTTGCAAGGCTTGTTCTCCGTAAAAAATGCTTTGCAAATTTATCCCACCCCATTAATAACAGTACATGTATTGATTGTATTCATTCAATGATAATTTGATATTCAAAATTCAAGGCATGTACATATTTATTTATAAATATATTTGACCGTCAAAATACTGTAGAACAGGGATAACTTGTGGTACAGGTATTTCACGGATAAAGGAGTGAAAGGTAAGTGATAATTACTTCTGTATGAAACATGTATGTATTTAATAGATAAGTAATTAATCAGATAAGATAATGTAAAATAAGATAAGTTAATGGTAATGATAAGATAACAAGAGGTAAAGGTAATCAACATTATGGATAAGTACAGGTGTTGCAGTTACTTGGTACATGAAAGGTACTGTGACATGTACTCTGTGGCTGACATGATCTCTGGTAACATTTATTGCTGCTCAAGTCTGCCAGTGCTCCTCTGGCTCAAATTAAGCAAAACTGGAATTATCCTTTTGTGGGCTTTGAGGTGCTGAGATTGTGGTGGAAGTGTTTAGCTAGGTGAGATTAGCCTGAAGCCACCTCCTATCAAACAATGATTTAATTTTCAAGGTGTGTGGTGATATGAATGAGTTGTCTTTTTTCAAACCTAATTATTTCATAACAGCCAGTAGTAGTAGAATGAATAACTAGTGAAATATGAAAAAAATCAACATGGCAAAAATATGAGAGCATTTTTAACATGTATGAAATCAAGACAGAATCACAACACAACCATCAGAATTGAATAACTTCAATAACAGAACGGAAAACACCCAACAACAATGGGGCAGAAATTCAAGAAATGATGCCTTCTGAAAACAGAACTTGAGTTGAAATATTCAGAAGCACAATAGAGAGTAAAAAAAGTGATTACTGTGTTTTGCTTTGCTATTGCTAATGATATGAAATGTAGCAGACCCACAGTTGAGATTAAGCAAATTGATAGAAAAAAAATGATTTGAAGCTCCTATCAAATACTAATGATTTAACATCTAGAGTGAATAGATCTTCAACCCCTCTCCATTCTAGTCAATTTGAGCACAATGGATTACTTCCTGTCCAATCAGGAACCCTTTCAGATCTTTAAAAGTCTAAATTTTTGCCTGAAAATCTAGCTTTTGAGGCTCTCAACTGCTTCTCATGGGAGACTTGCAGACCTTGAAGGTTAAGTTGTCTAATACAAAAGGTGAATTCAGAGCCACTTCATGTCCTCATCATAAGTTTTTATAACCTCTGAGATGGGTTTCCTTGTTTGATATTCATCTCCCTCGATTGAGTCTTGATTTCTTGTTAAAAAAACATAGGAAACCCGGGTATTGGCGAGCTTGTACAGCCTCTCCGTCGAACGCACGAAGTGCGGGAGAGGCTTGAGCCCAAAACAAACACGCTTGCGTGTCACGGTCAAGTTTTTTGGCTGTTTTTTGCGCCAAAAATCCTAGGAAATCCAGCTTGTAAATTTTTTGAAAACTGAGTTGAGGTGAAGATGCCCAATATGGTGGTCTTGACTTCCATCAAGAAATTTTTGAAAAAAATCAAAAACTACACAATTGAAGAATTTTTAAGGAAAATTTGCTAAATGAAAAGTTGGCTGAGCTTACATAAGCCTGTTTCAACCTCACTGCCTACCAGGTGAGAACATTTCCTCAATTTGACCAACTTGAAAAACATCCACCTCATCCAATTTCCAAGATAAAGCTCTGAAAATTGGATGAGGTGAGAGGCATCACCGATCTCTAAAACCTCATCTACTCAAATTCTAAATATCTGGTCATGTGCATGCTGTACGATCCAGCTCAATGTGTGTTACACCAAAACTGCCCAACCG